ACAATAAAAATAATAATAAGAATATCAATAAGAACAATAGTAATAATAATCATAATAACAGTAACAATAACAATAACGATAACCATAAGAAATACGATAAAAAAATAGTAATGATAATAATAATAACAAAAACAATAACAATATCAATAATAATAATAACGACAATAAAAATAGTAATAATAATAAATCTAACATTAAAAATAACATTAATAATAACAACTGTAACCACTACAATAACAAAATAACAACCGTATCATAAATAAGAGCAACAATAATAACAATAACAACAATAATAAAGACCATTACAAAACAAAAGCTATCATAATAACAATAACAACAATAATAACAACAATAATAACAGCAATTACAACAATAATAACAACAATAACAACACTAACAGCAATAATAAGAACAAGAACAACAATAAAATCAATAATAATAATAATAACAAAAAAAATAACTATAAAAACAGCAATAACAATAATAAGAAAAATATTAAAAACATTAACAACAATAATAACGACTATAACAATATTAACAACGATAGCAACAATAATAACAACACTAACATCAATAACAACAATAATAACAAAAACAATAACAATAACAGCAATAATAACAATAACAATATCATCAGTAATAACAGCAATAACAATAATAATAACAGTCGAAATAGCAATAGGAGTAACAATTACAATACCAATAACAAGAACTAAAATGATAACAAGAACAATAAAAATAACAATATTAATAACAATAACAATCAGAAGAACAATTATAGCAACAACAACATCAATATAAACAAAAATAACAACATTAAAAACAACAATAATAACAATAATAATAATAAAAATAAAAGCAACAACAATAACAGCAATTAAGAAATAATAATAATAACAATATTAAGAACTATAAGAATATCATTAACAGTCGCAATAGCAATAGTAATAACAATCACGAAAACAATAACTAAAATGATAACAAGCACAGTAACAATAACAATAATAGTCACAACAACAACAATAATGAAAAAATAACAACTAAAGAAACAACTATAACAACAATAATAATAAGAATACCAACAACGTCCATATTAATAATGGTAACAATAACAACAATAACAACGATGATAAGAGTAATAACACAAACGACAATAACAAGAAGAATAATAACAATAACAATAATAGCAGTAACAACATCAATAATAAGAGTAACAATATCAAAAATAACAACAAAAACAACAATAATAACAGCAAAAACAGTAATAACAACAATAATAACATCAATAAAAATAATAATAATAACAATAATAATAACAATCATTACGACAATAATAGCTATAACAACAATACTAATAACAATAATAACAATAAAAACAATAATAATAACAACAATAATAATAACAATAAAAATAACAACAATAATAATAACAACAATAATAATAACAATAATAATAATAACAACAATAATTTTTTTTTTTTTGATGGTCTGCAAATGCCTAACTCAGGAACCCCGCTCGCCAGAGGAACCCTTCACCATTTGGGTTCCCCATTAAAGTCCCTCGAGTGCCGGACTCACCAGGTACTACCGACTAAACTCATATCCATCCTAGTGGTATAATGAAACCATCTCGGCACCGCCATACGGCATTACTTCGGGATGACGCCACTGCATCAGGTCCATTTACGGGACTTTCCCTTCGGCAATACCTCGGAGCACTTTCTCGACAACGTTGTCTGGCGAGATCTCCCCGAGGTCTTGCTCCAAGGCGAGTCGTTCGACGCTCCACCTAACACATTTGAAGAATGTATGGTGGGCGTCGTCGACGGTCGAGTCGCCATAGGGACAGTTGCCGTCTGCTACCATCCTCATTTTTGCAAGGTAGGAGCAGAACAGACCATGCCCTGTCAAAAATTGAGTGAGGTAGAAGTCGACCTTTCCCGCCTCCCGGTTTAGCCAGATGTCTAGTCGACTGGTGAGTCGGGCAGTCCATCTGGCCCTATGTTCCTGTTCCCATTTGCTTTGCCAGTCCTCGATGCTGCTAGACCTGGCCATCCTTGATGCCTTCTCTTTCCCCAAAACGGGCTTCTGCTGGTGGACGAATTGTCTCTCCTTGGCTAGTAGATCGATCGGGATTATCCCCGCGATCACTAGCACTGCGGGCTCCGAGACCGTGAGGTTGGAGCACGCGATTCGGAGAGCGCCCTTCATCTGCACTGCGACTATGCGCCTGTGATATTTCTCGTGTGGCAGCGACTCGGCACAGACTTCCGCGCCATACAGTATCACTTCTTCGGCAGCGCGCATCAGTAATCGCCTTATGTACGGTCGGGGACTGTTAACGTTGGCCATGAGTGTGCCCAACGAAGCTGCTACTTTTGCCGCCTTGTCGGCTGCTCTAATTATGTGCTCTCCAAAATTGAGCTAATTGTCGAGCACTACACCTAAGTATTTGACAGCCGACTTACGTAGGATACCGTTGTAGAAAATATTCCAGATATCCGGTCTCAGTATGGAATCCTGGGCTGCCACCGATGTTAACTCCAAGCTTCTTGGACCATCGCAAGTACTGTATACTAGGAAGCGGTCGTTCAGATAATCCCCGAGAATTCGGAGTAGGTACTCCGGAACGCTGAAATTACGTTCGAGCGCTTCCATTGCCAAGTCCCACCTGACGGAGTTGAAGGCATTTCTCACGTCTAAGGTGGCCAGCAGACACAAAGGGCAGGATAGGTGATTCCCGCGTTCCTTCATTTTTGCGGCTGTAACAATCTCCTGGACTGCGTGGATGCTAGAAAGGCTGAATCGAAAACCATACTGCCGTGCAGCAAGATCGCAAGCTGCCCTCACGGCCGCGTGCAACCTTTGCAACCTCTCATCCTTTTCTTGTTGGATGTTGCAAGGGCCTCCTGGAATGTATTGTATACCCTTAATTCAGCCAAGTGCTTCTTTGGTTCAGCAACGCTTTTGGAGCACAGGAAGCAAGTGGGCTCGTTGACCTTAGTCTTTGATATTGTGCCCCGTACCGCCGCAAAAATAGCAAAGCTTACTGCAATTGGGGACCTAGTACGAGGCACTATGGTGGTCATAGTCGAGGCAGCGATAGCATCGTCTTACTTCTCCTCCTCGCCTGCGTTTGCAGCTGAAGAACCAACTAGCACACGGCCGGCCTTCAAAAGCTTCGCAGCTGCTTTTTTCTTTAATTTGACAAGGGCCAGGCGATACTGCCTCGCGTTGAGATTTGTCATTCTGACCTCCAATTTCCTCGAGTAGTTTGGCAGGGTCCTCTTTAGGGCCTCCTCAACTTCTGCTACCGATATGCAGCAATCGCAGTCCCGTATCTCCAGCGTAGCTCTGGGGACCAGTTCCATGATGCTGCTCTCTTTTCCTCAAGGTTTCTGCGAATGAGGCCCTGATCTCCGTAGTGGTCTTCTTGAGTTCGAGGAGAACTCCTCCCGTACTGGTCTGCTGGACCGATCTGACGTCTACCCCTGCAGCGCTGGTCTCGATGCGCTGGTGGATGGCTCCGATTATGTCTGAGTAAGTTTTACTTTGCGCAGGTTACTGGAGGATCGCGTCCGGCTTCATTCTCTTTTTCGACCTGTCCTCCGATTTGATCGGCTCCTTTTTCTCCTGCTGTGGGGGTTTCATCGCCTTCTTTGCGGGTTATGTCATATTTTTTTTCTTCTTGACGACCTCCGTCGACTTGGTGGATTCGATCGTCGTCGCCTCTTGCCTCGGTCTTTTGAGGCTTTCTTCAGACAACTGCGTCGGGCTTGTGGCTACTCTCTTAATTGTACCAGCATCTGTTACAGAGTTTGCCCATGGGCTCTGAGAAACTTGGGCGAGGATCCTGGCTCCCTTATTGACCTTTGTTCGAGATTTATACATGAACTCGAGGTTGTCAATAATTTCCTTCTGTTCTGGGAGCCCTTGCTTAATCGCATGGTTTACGTTCGGCTGTCTAGTCATAGCCGACTTCATTTTGGCAAGGAGAACTTTCGCTTGCGCGAGTTTTTCTCTCTCTCTCGATCTTGTGGTGTTCCCTTCGCAGGCTGGATAGGTGACGTCAAGCCGGAGAGCTGCATAATCTCAACGGCCCTGGCAGCCCTTTGGTACACTTCCAAGTAGCTTTCTTCACATCTTACCCTTCCCGCCGCTTTAGACACACTGCAAGGAGGTCACCTACCTGTGGTTCTCTCCCTGATGCATTATCCAAAGCTAGAGCCAGGTTGCCTATCCCAAACTCCTGGCAGCTGATGGATGACGACGGCAGGTGGACTGCGCTATCACCACTTGACACCGCCGTGGCATGGGTGTCCCTCCCACCCTCGCTTTTGCCTTTCGATGTACAATCCATAATGAGTAATTTCTTATTAGAAGGCAAGCTCCCCAAAGAAAGAATAGGAACGGAAGGAAGCTTGAGAGTGAGAGAAAGAACAAAAAAAGATATAACAGAAGAACCAAGAGAGGAATAGCTGTACTTTCATAAATTGTTCACACGGTCCCTATTAGTCACCTCTTACGTCAAGCAGAAAGTACAGTGGAGGTATTCTGCTACCCACAAGGGGGAACGTTATTAACAATTATAATAACGATAATAATAATAAGAATAATAATAATGATAATAATAATGACGGTAGTAACGATAATAATAATAACAACGATTATATCGACAATTACTATAATAACGATAATATTGTTAATAACGATAATAATAACAATAATAACGATAATAACGATAATAACGATAATAACATTAATAACGATAATAATAATGATGATAATAATAGTAACGGTTATAACGACAATAATAACAATAATAATAATAAATATGGTTATGACGATAATAACAATAATAATAACGAGACTAATAATAATAATAATAATAGTAATAATAACGATAATTACATTATTATAATATTAGTTTGGTGCGAATGAAATGTCGGATTCTTAAATGAATATATTAAACTGCATATCTTTTTCCAAAAGCTGTTTATTTATTCAAAATATGCTCCATTTACTTCAATACTCTTTTCCCAACGAGATTTTAATGCATAGATGCCTGTCTTGAAGAAATTCTGATCTTTAGAATCAATAAACTCTGATATGGCATTTTTCAGACTGTTTTTATTTTCGTACTGTTTAGCCCGTATAAACAGTTCTAAATGTTTAAATAAATGAAAGTCGATTGGCGAAAGATCCAGTAAATAAGGTAGGTGCTGCAAAATTTCATATTATAATTCATTTAATTTTGCAATTGTTTTGTACGATGTATGTGGCCGAGTGTTGTCGTGGAGAAGTATTGGGCCATGCCGATTAACAAGTGATGGGCGTATATTTTTTAACTTTTCATGCATTTCTTCAATGTACTGGCAATTCTTTTCGGCTGTAATTGTTATTCCAGTTCGAAGAAATGAGTAGTGTATTACTCCAGGCACATTCCACCAAACTGTGATTAAAATTTTCCGTGGATAAAGTGATGGACGTGGAGTATGAGCACAAGCCTCATCCCTATCAAGCCACCAAGCACACCATTTCCTATTGTCGTAAAGAACCCATCTTTCATCACAAGTAATGATACGATCGAAAAATGGATCTCGATTAAATCGGGTTAGCAATGATGAGCATACGTTCAAGCGATCCAGCTTATTTCGCTCGGTTAGATCGTGCGGTATCCACTTATCCATATTTTCACCTTGCCAATTTCAGAAAGATGTTGCAATATTGTTGTATGGTCAACTTCCATTCTGGCAGCAAGTTCCCTTGAAGAAATAGTTGCATTCGTTTCCACCAATGCTTTCAGAGTATCATTTTTCACAAACGTTTCGGGTCTTCCACGCGGTTCATTTTGCAGGGAAAAATCACCAGATCGAAATTTTTTAAACCGACGCTGCACTTTTCGATCGTTCACAGTATTCTCCACAAACGCCTGGTTTATATTGCGTGGAGCTTTTGCTTATTATTACCATGTTTATACTCACATAAGAAAATAACACAAATGTCGGTTGAATTCATATCGGTGCAAAATTCAAAGAAAATAACAATAGGGAACACTTTTGAGAAAATCTTCCTTGCTAAAATGTGACCCTGGCAATGGACAGTACGACTATAAACCAGGTTATGTCAAAAACAAAAGCATAACAAAAACAGGGAGAAAAACGTTCACATTTAAAGACAATCCGACAATTCATACACACCAACCCAATAATAATATCAATAATAACGATAATAACTAATAACGATTATAACTAAAATAACTATAATAACGATAATAACTATAACAAAGGTAATAACGAAAATGATAATAATAATAATATTAACGATAATGATTAAAATAACGATTGTAACGATAATAAATATAATAACGTTAATTATCATAATAATGACAATAATAACGATAATAGTGATAATAATTATAATAAAATTAACAACAATAATAAGGATAATAATAATAACAATAATAACAATAGTAACGATAATAACGACAATAACGATATTAAAGATAATAATAATGTTAGCGATAACAACGATAATAACGATAATTACGATAACAAAGATAATAACTATAATAAATATAATAATGATAATAATAATAACAATAACGATAAAAATAAAATTAACGATAATAATTATAATTATAATAATAAGGATTATTACAAATAAAATGATAATAATGATTATAACGACAATAAGGCTAATAACGATAATAATAATAATAACAATAATAACGATAATAGCGATCATAACGATTATAACTTTAATAAAGATAATAACGATAATAACGATAATAATATAAATAATAATGATAACTATAATAATAATACCAATAATAATATTAATAATAATAATAATAACAATAATAATAATAGTAATAGTAAATATAATAACGTTAATAATGATAATAATAATAAAACAACGATTATATCGACAATTACCATAGTAACGTTAATACTCTTAATAACGATAATAACGATAATAACGATAATAACGATAATAACGTTAATAACGTTAATAACGATAATAACGATAATAACGACAATAACGTTAATAACGTTAATAACAATAACAATAACAATAACAATAACAATAACAATAACAATAACAATAACAATAACAATAACAATAATAATAACAATAATAATAACAATAACAATAATAATAACAATAATAATAACAATAACAACAACAATATCAATAATAATAACAATAATAATAATAATAATAATAATAATAATAATAACAATAATAATAACAATAACAATAATAATAACAATAATAATAACAATAACAACAACAATAACAATAATAATAACAATAATAATAATAATAATAATAATAATAATAACAATAATAATAACAATAATAATAACAATAATAATAATAATAATAATAATAATAATAACAACAACAATAACAATAATAATAACAATAATAATAATAATAATAATAATAATAATAATAATAATAATAATAATAACAATAATAATAATAATAATAATAATAATAACAATAATAATAATAATAATAATAATAATAATAATAATAATAATAATAATAATAATAATAATAATAATAATAATAATAATAATAATAATAATAATAATAATAACAATAATAATAATAATAATAATAATAATAATAATAATAATAATAATAATAATAATAATAATAATAATAATAATAATAATAATAATAATAATAATAATAATAATAATAATAATAATAATAATAATAATAATAATAATAATAATAATAATAATAATAATAATAATAATAATAATAATAATAATAATAATAATAATAATAATAATAATAATAATAATAATAATAATAACAATAATAATAATAATAATAATAATAATAATAATAATAATAATAACAACAATAACAATAATAATAATAATAATAATAATAATAATAATAATAATAATAATAATAACAATAATAATAATAATAATAATAATAATAATAATAATAATAACAACAACAATAACAATAATAATAATAATAATAATAATAATAATAATAATAATAATAATAATAATAATAATAATAATAATAATAATAATAATAATAATAATAATAATAATAATAATAATAATAATAATAATAATAATAATAATAATAATAATAATAATAATAATAATAATAATAATAATAATAATAATAATAATAATAATAATAATAATAATAATAATAATAATAATAATAATAATAATAATAATAATAATAATAATAATAATAATAATAATAATAATAATAATAATAATAATAATAATAATAATAATAATAATAATAATAATAATAATAATAATAATAATAATAATAATAATAATAATAATAATAATAATAATAATAATAATAATAATAATAATAATAATAATAATAATAATAATAATAATAATAATAATAATAATAATAATAATAATAATAATAATAATAATAATAATAATAATAATAATAAATAATAATAATAATAATAATAATAATAATAATAATAATAATAATAATAATAATAATAATAATAATAATAATAATAATAATAATAATAATAATAACAATAATAATAATAATAATAATAATAATAATAATAATAATAATAATAATAATAATAATAATAATAATAATAATAATAATAATAATAATAATAATAATAATAATAATAATAATAATAATAATAATAATAATAATAATAATAATAATAATAATAATAATAATAATAATAATAATAATAATAATAATAATAATAATAATAATAATAATAATAATAATAATAATAATAATAATAATAATAATAATAATAATAATAATAATAATAATAATAATAATAATAATAATAATAATAATAATAATAATAATAATAATAATAATAATAATAATAATAATAATAATAATAATAATAATAATAATAATAATAATAATAATAATAATAATAATAATAATAATAATAATAATAATAATAATAATAATAATAATAATAATAATAATAATAATAATAATAATAATAATAATAATAATAATAATAATAATAATAATAATAATAATAATAATAATAATAATAATAATAATAATAATAATAATAATAATAATAATAATAATAATAATAATAATAATAATAATAATAATAATAATAATAATAATAATAATAATAATAATAATAATAATAATAATAATAATAATAATAATAATAATAATAATAATAATAATAATAATAATAATAATAATAATAATAATAATAATAATAATAATAATAATAATAATAATAATAATAATAATAATAATAATAATAATAATAATAATAATAATAATAATAATAATAATAATAATAATAATAATAATAATAATAATAATAATAATAATAATAATAATAATAATAATAATAATTAATAATAATAATAATAATAATAATAATAATAATAATAATAATAATAATAATAATAATAATAATAATAATAATAATAATAATAATAATAATAATAATAATAATAATAATAATAATAATAATAATAATAATAATAATAATATAATAATAATAATAATAATAATAATAATAATAATAATAATAATAATAATAATAATAATAATAATAATAATAATAATAATAATAATAATAATAATAATAATAATAATAATAATAATAATAATAATAATAATAATAATAATAATAATAATAATAATAATAATAATAATAATAATAATAATTAATAATAATAATAATAAATAATAATAATAATAATAATAATAATAATAATAATAATAATAATAATAATAATAATAATAATAATAATAATAATAATAATAATAATAATAATAATAATAATAATAATAATAATAATAATAATAATAATAATAATAATAATAATAATAATAATAATAATAATAATAATAATAATAATAATAATAATAATAATAATAATAATAATAATAATAATAATAATAATAATAATAATAATAATAATAATAATAATAATAATAATAATAATAATAATAATAATAAATAATAATAATAATAATAATAATAATAATAATAATAAATAATAATAATAATAATAATAATAATAATAATAATAATAATAATAATAATAATAATAATAATAATAATAATAATAATAATAATAATAATAATAATAATAATAATAATAATAATAATAATAATAATAATAATAATAATAATAATAATAATAATAATAATAATAATAATAATAATAATAATAATAATAATAATAATAATAATAATAATAATAATAATAATAATAATAATAATAATAATAATAATAATAATAATAATAATAATAATAATAATAATAATAATAATAATAATAATAATAATAATAATAATAATAATAATAATAATAATAATAATAATAATAATAATAATAATAATAATAATAATAATAATAATAATAATAATAATAATAATAATAATAATAATAATAATAATAATAATAATAATAATAATAATAATAATAATAATAATAATAATAATAATAATAATAATAATAATAATAATAATAATTAATAATAATAATAATAATAATAATAATAATAATAATAATAATAATAATAATAATAATAATAATAATAATAATAATAATAATAATAATAATAATAATAATAATAATAATAATAATAATAATAATAATAATAATAATAATAATAATAATAATAATAATAATAATAATAATAA